AACTGTGATTACGAAACAGCGACCGCAAGTGTTAGAAAATGTTGAAAGGCTGTTATTGGTGTGGATAAACGAAAAACGGATAGCAGGAGATAGCATCTCTCAAGCAATCATTTGTGAAAAGGCTAGGCAGTTGCATGACGATTTGGTAAAGAAATTGCCTGCAACTAGTGTTGATGTGAGTGAATTTAAGGCCAGCAAAGGTTGGTTTGAAAGATTTAAGAATCGTAGTGGTATACATAGTGTGATTAGGCACGGTGAAGCTGCCAGTTCAGACCAAAAAGCGGCTGAAAAATATGTGAGGGAATTCAAGGATTACACAGACAGTGAAGAATTTAAACCTGAACAAGTGTTTAATTGTGATGAAACAGGCCTGTTTTGGAAGAAAATGCCAAGCAGGACCTACATTACTCAGGAGGAAAAGGCACTCCCAAGACATAAGCCTATGAAAGACAGGCTTACTCTTTTGATGTGTGACAATGCTAGTGGTGATTGTCAAGTGAAGCCTTTATTGGTGTATCACTCTGAAACTCCCAGAGTTTTCAGGAAAAACAATGTCCTCAAGGCTAATTTGTGTGTGCTGTGGAGGGCAAACAGTAAGGCATGGGTCACTAGGGACTTTTTCTATGACTGGTTACACCATGCATTTGCCCCCACTGTGAAAAATTACCTAATTGAAAAGAAATTAGTCCTTAAGTGCCTCCTGGTATTAGACAATGCCCCTGGTCATCCTACAGACTTGGCAGAGCGACTTTCTGGGGACATGAGCTTCATTAAGGTCAAGTTTTTGCCTCCTAATACCACTCCTCCCCTGCAGCCCATGGACCAGCAGGTCATTTCCAACTTCAAGAAACTGTACACAAAAGCTATGTTTGAAAGGTGCTTTGTAGTGACCTCAGAAACTCAATTGACTCTAAGAGAGTTTTGGAGAGATCACTTTAGCATCCTCAATTGTGTAAACATTATAGATAAGGCTTGGGAGGGAGTGACTAAAAGGACCTTGAACTCTGCTTGGAAAAAACTGTGGCCAGAATGTGTAGACAAAAGGGATTTTGAAGGATTTGAAGCTAACCCTGAGAAGCCTATGCCAGTTGAGGAATCCATTGTGGCATGGGAGAAGTCCTTGGGGTTGGAGTTTAGTGGGGAGGATATGGAAGAGTTGGTGGAGGAGGACAATGAAGAACTAACCAGAACTAACTAGATCACCTTCAACAGCAAGAGGCCAGACCTGAGGAAACTGCTTCGAATGAGGGGATAGAGAAATTGAAGAAGTTGCCTACTTAAAAGATTAAGGAAATGTGTGCAATGTGGCTTAAAGTGCAAACCTTTTTTGATGACAATCACCCTAACACAGCTATTGCAAGCCATGCTGGTGACTATTACACTGACAATGTTGTGAAACACTTTAGGAATGTCATAAAGGAACGGGAGGTACAGGCCTCTATGGACAGATATGTTGTGCGACAGAAGTCCAGTGACTCTCAAGCTGGTCCTAGTGGCATTAAAAGAAGAAGTTAAGTAACCCCAGAAAAGGACTTGCTACCTCAAGTCCTAATGGAAGGAGATTCCCCTTCTAAACACTAACACCTCTCCTCTCCTCCCATCCCATCAATCACCACCAGATCTTCATTAAAGGTGAGTGTCAATTATTCTATTGTTATTGTTGTTACTGTAATTATTCTATTGCATTAAACTTAATATTTCATATGGTAAAAAAAATTTTTTTTCATACCTTTGGGTGTCTTGCATGGATTAATTTGATTTCCATTATTTCTTATGAGGAAAATTGATTCACTTTTCGATATTTTCGGTATTCGATGAGCTCTCAGGAATGGATTAATATCGAATACCGGGGGTCCACTGTACTTTTTCAGTCAAGGAAGGTAATCAGAAAATACTAGGAAAGAGGCAACAAACACTATGTGAAGTTTCAAGAATTGTTTATTTCACTATTTCCATCTTTAATAATCCTTTCCTCTTGATTTCTACCTTTTCATGATTCTACACTACTTTTTCATGTGTCTAAGGGCAATGTGTGGTGTAAATATTATGCAGAAAATTCGGAGTGTGGAAATTAGGAAAAGGTGTGGAGTTAATAAAAGTATTAGTCAGAGGGCAGAAGAGGGGTTGTTGAGGTGGTTTGGTCATTTAGAGAGAATGGATCAAAGTAGAATGACATGGAAAGCATATAAATCTATAGGGGAAGGAAGGCGGGGTAGGGGTCGTCCTCGAAAGGGTTGGAGAGAGGGGGTAAAGGAGGTTTTGTGGGCAAGGGGCTTGGACTTCCAGCAAGCGTAACGTGAGCGTGTTAGATAGGAGTGAATGGAGACGAATGGTACTTGGGACCTGACGATCTGTTGGAGTGTGAGCAGGGTAATATTTAGTGAAGGGATTCAGGGAAACCGGTTATTTTCATATAGTCGGACTTGAGTCCTGGAAATGGGAAGTACAATGCCTGCACTTTAAAGGAGGGGTTTGGGATATTGGCAGTTTGGAGGGATATGTTGTGTATCTTTATATGTGTATGCTTCTAAACTGTTGTATTCTGAGCACCTCTGCAAAAACAGTGATAATGTGCGAGTGTGGTGAAAGTGTTGAATGATGATGAAAGTATTTTCTTTTTGGGGATTTTCTTTCTTTTTTGGGTCACCCTGCCTCGGTGGGAGACGGCCGACTTGTTAAAAAAAAAAAATGCTTATAAAAGGCAGTACTGATTCTTTTTACAATTCTGTTGTCTAATAACAATGGCAATAGCTCCAAGAATTCTTTGATAAATATTTCAAGGCTATTTTAATTATCTTTTAACACAGGAAAACAGCAAAAGTATCTAGGGAGTGCTAACCAGATATCAAATAGTAGAGAAAGATAAATCCAATCACTATAGTACATGTTTAATGAAAACTGCTGTCCTGGAACCGTGGTCACTCTAAATGTACACAAGGGTAGAAAAAAACTTATGCTTATGGAATCAAAAGGCCTTTGTGTAAAAAAAAAGTGTTAAGGTGGAGTGAAGTTTGTTTGATGGTTGTGTGCCAGCATGGCGGAGATACTACAATTTCCATTTTTTATGTGCGACTTCTTGGTTTACTAGTTATAGCAAACAATGGTGACAGTAGAGTTTAGGTTCTGTGAAGATCATTCCTCTCAAGGAAGGTTCCTTGATGCTGGTGATCTAGGGAATTAGATCTGTGCTCCAGTTCCCTGAATTAAGCATGAATACTTTCCACATCCCCCACAGGTGCTGCATAATCCTAAGAGTTTAGTGCTTCCCCCTTGATTATAATACTAATAATAATATTGATGTGAAGATCATTTGCACTTTGGTCCAATCAAGTACTGTACACCACACAATGTGTTTCAGGAGTCTCCCTGCTGTATACATATTTGTGTTTGTTAGCACTAGTGGACAAAATCCTGCCTGTCTCTCCTACACATTACTTTTCACACTGACCACATATGATTGTGAAGTCACTGGTGGTATATGTAGGTTGTCATGTTGTGGATCATCAAGTTCTGTGATGGGTAAGGACACAAGGGCTACCACGTGGCTGTTGCTTGCATCTAATGTCAGTGCAGTCTCTTATTGCTCTAACAGTGACACAAAAGGCAGAAAATTATAGTATCATTGCCATATTAGAATTCATAATCAATGAGCTTAACCCTTTCAGGGTTGGTGCCGTACTAGTACGGCTTGCGAGCCAGGGTTGGTGCCGTACTAGTACGGCTTGCGAGCCAGGGTTGGTGCCGTACTAGTATGGCTTGCGAGCCAGGGTTGGTGCCGTACTAGTAAAAGTAAATTCTAGCGCCTTCAAATCTATTGAGAGAAAGCTGGTAGGCCTACATATGAAAGAATGGGTCTGCGTGGTCAGTATGTGCAGTATAAAAAAAAAATCCTGCAGCACACAGTGAATAATGAGAAAAAAAAAAAACTCCGACTGCGTTTTTGGTTTAAAACAGCAACTTTGCAGTGTATTTTCCTATGGTATTTATGGTTGTATTCTCGTTTTCTTCATTTTATTTGACAGAGCGGAAGATATATTACAGAAATAGATATAATTTTGACTGGTTTCATGATGACAAGTACCTTAAAATTGAGCTCAAAGTAGCAAAAATGTTCGATTTTTGCCAATGTTAAAGAGTAAACAAATCATGCCACGTGTCCAATACAAGTCAACTGGTGCGTCTAATATTCTTTCACAAGTGTGCTGATATTATTTATACCATTTTTACAATGATGCAGTTGTATACATAACAGCAAATCTTCTATTTTTTGTGAGAATAAAAATTCAAAACGGAAAGCAAAAGTAATGTAACAGGGCTGGAGACGTGACTAATGAAGAGATAAAATGTTATTTTAGAGCCAGGAATGTCTGTCTTGTTTATTCTGGACCCTATTTTGAAATTGGCATCTTTTGAAATTTGTGTGAAATTGGCCAAATAGCCAATTTGTGACCACTTTATTGGGTAAACATCAGTAAATGAGCAGTTTCTTGTACTCAATCGATAGAACAAATGGAGTTCTAATGAAACAGCTATGATTTTAGTAGACTGGAACATTGGAATTGGCTGAAAATAGGGCTCAAAGTGGGCGACATCGCCGATGCATAAATATCGTCGAGACTACTAACTTCATGAGAGCATAATTATGTAAGTTTCCATCAAATTTCATACTTTTGGTGTCATTACAATCGGAAAAAGATTCTCTATCATTTCATAAGAAATATCATTCTATTTTTTTTTTTTCAGAAAATTGTTTGACCCTGAGAATGAGTTTGGGAGAGGGCCTCTCGACTCTGAAAGGGTTAATATAACCTGACACAACAGTCAGGTGATATGATGCTAAACCTCTCATACTTACCTTCACATACATTCCAAGTGATTAATTTTTTTCTTTTTCCAATAGACTTGTCAGTATCATATACCGTTATATCCATAGGCAACAAACTCTCATATCCACTTCAGGTTATAGTGTAAATTGAGTGCTACTGCAGAACAGTACATACCTGACCACCTGCAGCAGCCATAAATGCATTTCTGTTGAGGTAGTTGCACTCCATGGGCAATAATCCCAGCTCACTGTGCTTCTTGACTAATTTACGCAGCTCAGTGATCAAGTCATGGGTAATTCTCTGATTTTCTGGTGGCTCCCTACAAAAAATAATGGTTATTAACATGAGAGGTTAGAGAAATATGAGATAGAAACATTTATGAAGCCTCAAATTATCTTGGAACACTGGCACCGCTGCTACAATAGCTGCATGTACCTCACACTGGTACCGCTGCTACAATATCTGCATGTACCTTACACTGGCACCACTGCTACAATATTTGCATGTACCTCACACTGGCACCACTGCTACAATATTTGCATGTACCTCACACTGGCACCACTGCTACAATATCTGCATATACCTCACACTGGTACCACTGCTACAATATCTGCACTTTCCCATTCTAGGGCATGTGCAGGTATACTGTACAGTAGATACTCTAATATTATCATTTCTGATCAACCAAAATTCAGATCTTTACTTATTTTTTAGTTTTTTTTTTTTTTCTAAATTCACATGGGTCAATCAGAGCAAGGAGTGGAAGAGGCTCCATTCTTCATGGTGGCTTGGTTTCTGACCACTGACCAGTCAGGCCAATGATAATCAGGTGTTACTTGAATGTTTAGGAATTCACAATCAAGTAACAGAAAAATCTTTGAGGAAAACCCCACTGCTACAGTGAATATTGTAGAAGGCATAGAATTTAAGTTTTAAGAGTCCCAATGGTAAATTATGAAATGGGACCTTCGATTAAACTGTACTTCGAAAATCTTGGTAATAAACAATACATGTGTAAGAACAGCATTAGCTACTGCAGAATACAAATGATAATAAAGTGTGCAATGAAATCAGTTTTGTAAACTATGTTTGGGCAGAAAATAGGTTGAAGGGCAGATATCTAGACACCTTTTAAGAAAAACAACTTCTATCCCATAATTATTTAGCAGCAGCTAATTGGTATCAGCAGTTGAAAGAGAAGTGAATGAGTTCAGTAAGAGAATGATTATTGAGAAGTATGAGTAAATGGTGGATAAAAATAAAAAAAAAAAGTGGGTTAGGGGAGGGTTAGGGTGGGTTGAGAGGCCTGGTTGTGGACTGGGCTGCAGGGGCGTTGATCCCCGGAATATTCTCCAGGTTGGGTAATAGAAAGTGATGATGAGGGCAAGTAGGGTATGTATGATATGTAATGCTAATGTTTGCAGCCAAATTATCATCAACATCATGGAAACACTAAACCTGTAGGCATTACATAGCACCTGTGATGGGAGGGGGGATGGAAGGCATTCAGGCTCAATTTGGGAAATTGGAGCACAGGTCCAATTCCCTAGATCAAGTGCCCCTCACCAGCATCAAGGAACCTCCCTTGAGGGGACCGTTTGCAGTCCAAGTTTGTGGTTATAGGAGGGTGGGTGCAGGAGGAGAGAAATGAGTGGTGGAATGATGAGGTATTATTACATTCCTGGGTAAAGCTAAACCCGTAGAGGTCAAACAGCACCTGAAGATATGGAAGGTATTTAGACTCGATTCAAGGAATTTTTCTCAAATACGTACCAACTTTTTTACCTTTGTTATCATTCCCCTCAAGGGAGGTTCCTTGATGCTGGTTAGGAGCTTTTCATCCAAGGAATTGGGCCTGTGCTCCAATTCCTCAAGAATGCCTCTTTTGATCAGCTAATTTTTAATGCTAATGTATTCTACACTGAGCAAGGTTTGAACTGTGTAAGCGCCAAGTTGCCAATCTTATTTGAAAAACTGGGTGATGTTCATGCAATAATTTGTGAGTGTATCTCCTAATTGGCTTCAAATTTTACAATGTTGGTGCATCTAATGCAAAAGAAGATTCAGATTTGTTTTGGACTGTTAGTGAAAATCTGGCAGATTTAATCAGCTTATAATAACTGGAATTACTAGTTTCAATGTGATACTCTGAGAATGCCTTTTCTGACTGGCTTCACATTTTCAACACTGGTGTTCCTTTTATACAGGAAGGTTCAGTTTGTTATTGGGCTTTGCAGGTGCCAACTTCCCAATTTTCTTCAAAACCAATTGGTGTTTACCATACTTACCCTTTTGGAGCGCCAAGGAATTAAGGGTATCAACACAATACTCGCTACAACTACTAAGCGACTGCATATAAAGCACCTGATGGTTGAACCAGATTAAAAAAATTTCAGACTACTTTTTTTTTCATTTTTGGGAATACATTAGTATAACTTAAACACCTTAAGAAACACACTTTCAATATACAGTAGGGCCCCACTCATACAGCAGGTTAGGTTCCAGGCTACCGCCTTAAAGCAGAACACCATTTTTTCCACTTATAAATGCATATAAATGCCAGACAAGTTTACACTAACTTGTATTAAGTTAGTAATAGAACTAAGCATTAAAAAACACAATAAAAAGTAAAAAACATACACAGTACATTCATTACTTACCTTAAAATATTTGTAGTCTTATTAATGTAGGGCGAGAGGTGAGTAGTACTTATTTGTAGGAAGTAAGGTGTAGGTAGCCTAGGCTCCCTGTCCCAAACTTAATATACGATATTTAAAGCAGCCCAGAGAGATAAAATACATACAGTATACTCATGATTTACCTTAACTTATGTGTAGTCTTAATGCAGTATGAGAGGTGATAGGCGAGTAGTATTTATTTGTATGAAGTCAGGTGTAGGTAGCCAGTAGATGTAGCTATGTAGTCCGCCTGGCTACATAGCTGCACCTACCTACATAGCTATACGATATTTAATGCAGCCCAGAGCCATATTATTACTATCGGCATACCTTGTTAACTGAGTTTAATCGTTTCTAACACCTACCTTTAGATGCCATCGTAAACGAAGGGAGAAGTAATGAATAATACATGCCGAGAATTGTAAACAAAAGCGGAGTGTTAAGGGGAATGACTGGGCCAAATGCAGATTAATACGTTTTCTCTGGTGCTGGACCAGAGAAGACGTAATGTTTTCCCTCCGCCCAGCTACCACACCTCCATAGCATATACACATGGCATGTTTGTATGCTATGTAATGTGTTTCTTAGATCATTTTAATGTAAAATAAGTCATTTAATGTGCCCAAGAGTGATTATTATTATGTACTACATGTATTAGTATTTCTATGGCGTTAAGACTAAGGGGACACTTAGTGATTTTATTGTGTACCTGCACATCATCACAGTGTATATATAGGTACAGGTACACACAAGTATTATTATCAGAGTACAGATAAAATATGCAATAACTTTAAAACACTTGAAATTTTGGAAAGTTTCCAAACATAATAGAGAGATGTGCTCAAGGAGAATGTAAACAAACCAGGTGGGGTACAGTGGACCCCCGGTTCGTGATATTAATTTGTTCCTGAGAGCTCATCGTAAACCAAAAATATCAGAAAGCAAATCAATTTTCCCCATAAGAAATAATGGAAATCAAATTAATCCGTGCAAGACACCCAAAAGTATGAAAAAAAAATTTTACCACATGAAATATTAAGTTTAATGCACACAAACTGAAGAAGACATGCACAGTTTGTAGCACTCTACTAACAATAGAATACATGCACTTACCTTTAATGAAGATCTGGTGATGATTGATGGGATGGGAGGAGGGGAGAGTGTCGAAGTTGTTAATGTTTAGGAGGGGAATCCCCGTTCAATAGGACTTGAGGTAACAAGTCCTTTTCCGGGGTTACTTCCCTTCTTTTAATGCCACTAGGACCAGCTTGAGAGTCACTGGCAGCCTCACCATGCCTAATCACACTATGTATGCCACTACGATTCTTAAATCTTTCAAACCAACCTTTGCTGGCCTTAAATTCACTCACATCACCACTAGTTGCAGGCAATTTCTTTACCAAATCGTCATGCAACTGCCTAGCCTTTTCACAAATGATCGCTTGAGAGATGCTATCTCCTGCTATCTGTTTTTCATTTATCCACACCAATAACAGTCTCTCAACATCTAACACTTGCGGTTGCTGTTCTGTAATCACAGTTGCACCTTTTGCAACAACAGCTTCCTTGATTGCCGTTTTCCTGGTCACTATAGTAGAGATGGTTGATTGGCGTTTTGTATACAACCTGGCCAGCTCCGACACATGCACTCCACTTTCGTACTTTGCAATTATCTCTTTCTTCATTTCAATAGTCATTAGCACCCTTTTTCTCGAAGGGTTGGCACTAGAAGCTTTCTTGGGGCCCATGGTGACTTATTTTGCAGAAACAAGCACCAAAAACACTGTGATAATATGGAATGTACCGAATATATCCTTAGATGCAAGCACACTGGCTGGCTTGTAAACACTGGCACACATGCGGACACGTCTCAGACGAATCGTATGCCGGGTTTTTTAACAGGAACCGAGGTAAATTTTTTGCGATATAATGCATCGCATACCGAATTTATCGGATACCGATAGCATCGTGAACCGGGGGTCCACTGTATTAGAAAGACAGTTAGCCATATAGCGAGTTTTGGCCATAATTTAAAATCACTGTATTAGTGGAAAACCGTAAGGTGAAACGCCGTAAAGCAGGGCCCTACTGTACAATGCACAAAGATTCCGTCATATAAATAGAAACATTCCATAAAATGAAAGTGACATGTGCAACACTTGACTGTCTTTACTAACAAAAAAGAAAGCTTTGCCTGCATAGCAGGCTTCTTTGGTTATGCCTGGAGGCTACTTGAATAGGGTTTCTGGGATCAACACCCCCACAACCCAATCTGTGACCAGGTTAAATATATCACTTAACAAACCATACCACGGGTGTGGATAGCACCTGCAATCAGTCATAAAACTCCAGACCAACGTGTTAGCCACTGGGCCAGCTAGCTACAATAAGATTCTACCAATTAGGTACGTTTATATACCATAGGAAGGTCTGGAGTTTTATGACTATCTGATCACGGGTTATATCCCTGCCCATGGTATGGTTTGTTTGCATTCATGTCATTACGATTTTGTGGATCATATAACTGAAGACAACAGAAGGAATTTGAGGTGATCAACCCCTCAGCCTTGATAAGTGGGTCAGTTCCTCAGCCTAAGGTACTGAGGCTGACCACCACATGCACATGTCGAAGCCTGTCTTA